AGGGGCGCGAAGATCGTCGCGCTTCTGCGCGCGCGCCGCGGCGCTGAGCTGGAGAGGAGGGCCCCCGACCGACCGTGGGGGGGGGCAGGCCGCCGACCGAGGGCCAGAGGATTGGTCTCGTCGAGGCGCGGCCTCCCAGGGCCTCTCAGCGGAGGCCTCCTCCTCCTCCCTCCCTGCTCCCTCTCATCCTCTCCTCCTCCTCCTCCTCCTCCTCCTTCATTCCTCCTCCCTCCTCTCCTTCTTCCCCCTCCTCCTCCTCCTTCTCCTCCTCCTCCTCCTCAGAGACGTGTGCCGTGGCCAGGATTGGCCTCGTCGAGGCGCGTCTTCCGTAGGGGTCGAAGAGGATCGCGCCGCATCGGCGATGCACTGGCGACGCATCGCCGATGCATCGGCGACGTCGACGTGAAGCAGATCGGGCTCCACATCGAGCCGCATCGGCGATGCATCTGCGATGCGGGGCGATCCTCCGACCCCGTCTACTCCGACCACATTCCGACCCCATCTAGGAGGCCCAGACAGACAGGGGCCGTGGCCAGGATTGGCCTCGTCGAGGCGCGGCCTCCCAGGGCCCACCACGTGGAGAGAAGAGCGGCCCTGAGATCCTGGCGTCTCCGTTTTGTTCGAGCCGGTTTTTTTGTTCGTCAGGTTTCGGGCCCTGGGGCCCTCGCAGCTCGATCCAGCTCGAAGAACGACGCGGAAAGATGGGGTCGGGGTGTTCCGTGGTGACTTTTTGCGATGCTTCAACTGTTTGCAATGTCGGATCTCATGGGGAGACCGTGGCCAAGATTTTCTCCACCCTAAGACAGGAAACTACAGATCTGCTGCCCCTCAGGAAGGGTATCCGAATAACGCGAGGAGGGGCGGAACACACCCGTGCACAGCATGTCTGAGAAAAACCGCGATGGGAAGAGCTCAGTGGCAATCTGAGCGGTCGCAGCTGGCACCATGCAGTGTGACCAATCAAATGGGGGGGGAGGAGGAGGAGGAGGAGGAGGAGGAGGAGGAGGAGGAGGAGGAGGAGGAGGAGGAAGAGGAGGAGGAGGAGGAGGAGGATGAGGATGAGGAGGAGGAGGAGGAGGAGGAGGAGGAGGTAGAGAAGGACACTGATTGGGGATGGAACTATGGAGCTCCGTCGATACCCGCCAATCCGAACATCTGCTAGCCCCGTTAGCCCTGCCCCTCCCTCCTACCCCTTCATTCTCGTGGAGGTGGTCCAAAGAGGACGAGGAGAGGAAGAGGAGGAGGAGGAGGGGGAGGAGGAGAAATAACAGTATGAGTTAGAACAACCAGGAGTATGGAGAGGGGAACGGCGAGAAGGTGGACGAGGAGGAGGTGGAGGTACCCACAAGACAAGCCGAGGGGGGCCCGTCCTCGCGCGTCAAGATAAGGCGGTAGCTCTTCAAATCCTGCCAACAACGGGATTGGCCACTGCTCTCTCTTCGTAGAAGGAGGACAGGTGAAACAGGGAGGGCGGATAGATGGACTCAAATATGGGATGGTGATGATGCTGGCGATGACGATGACGACGACGATGCTGATGATGCTGGTGATGATGTTGATGATGATGCTGATGATGGTGACGGTGACGATGATGACGACGACGATAGTGATGATGATGATCATGATGCTGCTGATGATGATGCTGCTGATGATGCTGGTGGTCGTGATGAGGTTGATGGCAACTGCGATTGCGATGCCGATGATGCTGATGCTGCCGAAGATGATGATGATGTTGCTGAGGATGATCCTGATGATATTGTGACGGTGTTAGTGGTGAAAACTGCGGTGGTGGTGGCGATGATGGAGGAGGAGCGAAATCAACGTTTTGGGTTCCAAAGGTATGCGCCTCGAATGCAGCTGCGAAAAGGGGGCTTGCGCCCACGCGTTTTCACTCGAACAACTGAAAACATCCAAATCCTCGAGAGCCCTGTTCGCTGGGGCAGCCTCCCCCCGCTCTGTCCGCGGGTGGAGGCCGCGTCTCAAGTGGTTCCTCCAGCCTTTGCCCATCGCGTCCAAACTGAAGCTGCGCATGCTGGGCGAGATGCAGCAGAAATTCGCCCTGCTCTGGCGAAGCCCCGCGTGGGCGGATGTGGTCGAGATGACGAGGGAACAGACGACGAGGCAGGAGAGGGGAGCCCTGCCACGAAAGTTAAGGGTGCTCTAGTATAAGCTCTGAAACGAAATGTCCAGTTCTCTTTTCTCTCCGCGAGGAGGCGACATCGAATGTACATCTACCGTTTCGACTGCACATGCTAAGCATTATACTATCGTTTTGTATGGTTGCAACAACAATTGCTACTGAAAGTATTGGGCTTCTTCCTCACACTTCCCTTCCTTCTCTTCCATGCTCATCACCCCTTTCTATTATTCCCTTCGTCCCCCTCGCACCGTCCCCTTTCTCCTGCCCGCCTCTCCCTCCCCTTCGATCCGCTCCATTGCCCTCCCGTCTGCGGCGGATTGAGGGTCGCGCGTGCCACTGCAAACGCAATATCCGATCCACCAGTTGCAGTTATCACTAAGGCGGGCCAGTGAAAGATGGGCAACTCTTCTCCATTCGCGTGCTGGGATTGCTGCTGTTGCTGCTCCTCCTTCTCCTCCTCCTCCTCCTCCTCTTCCTCCTCCTTCTCCTCCTCCTCCTTCTCCTCCTCCTCCTCCTCCCCCTCCTCCTGCTCAACTCCACCTTCTCGTTATCTTGTCGTGACTCTGTCCTCCCCCGTCCTTCTTTGCTCTGCTCCACGCTCCTCCTCCTCCTGCTCCTCCTCCCCCTCCCCCTCTTCCTCCTCGTCTTCTTCCTCCTCCTTCTCCTCGACGCTGCCGTTGCCATGCGGCATGGAAATGACTGATTCCTCGCGGCTTATGGAACCGGACCCCTCCCCCCAGGACACCCGGGGGCTGGGGGGCGCGACGCCGACGGGGCCAGAGAAAATGAAGAGAAATGGGAAGAACGAGGGGAACAACTCTTTCGTCAAGCAGTCGGAAATCCTGGTTTCCTTTGACGATTCGAAAGCACGGTCCTCGCTCTCATTCCTTAGAACCAGAGGGCCCCTTCACCTGGATCTTGTACATGGAGGGTTCCCCATCAACGATGCCATGCGAAATGGCTGCTGTGTTCCGCTACATGGATGTGAACGGGTGGTGAGACGCGCGTGCGCTACGAGAGAGAAAGAGAGAGAGAGAGAGAGAGAAAACAACAAAAAAAATCCGCGCGCACATCTTCCGCTGAGGCGGTCGCGTATGGTGCTTGCAGGGCACTCGAGCCAGCCGCGCGCAACGGCGCGCGAATGGCAGCTGGAAAGGAAAGCGGAAGGAGCGAGGGTAAAGACTGAGAAGAGGCGGACGCGCCGGCCTCGGCTGCGCGGTGAGCAGCGCCGTCCCGCCGAAGGCGGGCGGGGCCCTCGCGCCTCCTGGCCCCCCCGACGCCGCGGTCACAGGCCACCTCCCCGACGCCGCGCGGGACGCGCGGAACGGGTAGGCACGTGTGGCAGGGTGAGGATGAGGATGGGGATGGGAGTGATGATGAGATGATGATGGTAATGAAGATGATGATGCTGATGGTGACGATCGTCATCAGGCCCGCAAGCCCCAGGCCGACGTCCCCGCCCGCGCCTTTGACCCCCAAAGCCCGAAGAGCCAGGTTCCCAAGGGCCGAAGGTGGCAGACCGCTCACCACCGGGGGCCTCCCTGCCGTGGAGGGGTGCTTCCTCCTCGAGCGTAGCCGCGGAGTCCTGTGATCATCACCTCGATGTCGTGGGGCGCCCAACCTGATGCCTTGGATGGGTGCTTCCTCCTCCTCCTGCTCTGGTCTCTTGCCCCGTCCTTGTCCTCCCTCCCTGTGGTCCTGTCCTCTCGCAGATCCTCCGGCCCCCCCTCTGCCTCCTCCGAACCGCCTCCTCGTCCTCCTTCCCCGTCGTGGCTTGGCCCTTTCCTTCCTCGTCCACGTGCTCGCCGTGATCCCCCTCCTGCTCCTGCTCCTGCTCCTCTCGTGCTTTCCTCCTCCTCCTCCTCCTCCTCTTCCTCCTCCACTTCCTCCTCCTTCTCCTCATCCTCTTTTTGCATATCAGCCCCCTTCATGCTGCTTCTCCTTCACCTCCTTTTGGCTCATCCTTCCCCTCCGATGCCCTTCCCCCCTTCTCGCTCCCCTCCTTTCTATCGCTCCCTCCACCTCCCCTTCCTTCATTTCCCCCTCCCCTTCCGTGACTGGCTTGTCCCGTCGGCTCGTCCGCCGCCTCTCGTCTTCCTCGCCCTCTTCGTACCCTTGCCCTCTTCGCCGTTCTACTACTCCTCCCTCTCGCACCATCCCTCCCCTTCTTTGCGCGACAAAGGCAAAATCCGAAACACCTACTGTCAGCATGGGGGGAAGGCACTCATGCAGCGGAAGGCCAGAACAAGTCGCCCTACGCCCTGCGCGCACGTGGAAGCCTTGACTACGTCCTGGCCAGATTCCTTTGAGTGCGTGAGCTGCACACGCATGGGCCTGGAGCACTGTGACATCAGGCGGCCCGCGTCGCCTGGGTCGTCACTACAGTACGGACGTGCGGGAGAGCCCAGGCAGGCAGAACAAAAAAAAGCCGCCCGGCTCGCGGTGCGCCGAAGCGAAGCCGTGCCCGGGGCCGCCCTGACCCCGGCGGCCGACGGCCCCACCCGTTGCTGCAACGGGACGTCGATGCGACCTGGGCACCCCTCGGCCCCTCCGCCTCATCCTCCCGCCCCTCGGCCCCTCCTCCCCCCGGCCCCTCCGCAGTTACCCAGCAATGACACCACGTGGGTACGACTCTCCTCTCTCTTCCCCGACGGCGTCCTGAGATTGGCGCGCACACCTCCGCGTAGATCTTGAGCACAAGACTGGTAGTTTTTGTTTTTTTGTCCTCTTGGTTTTTGTTGATTTGTTTCTTTATCTCTCTTTCATACATATATATATATATAAATAGTTATGTTGTGCAATCCTAGAAAGATCTCGGCCCTTCGAAGATGGTGCCCTTGTTGCAGCGTTGGCCTCATTTTCGGATCGGCACTTTGCTCTCGTTGTTCCGGACGGCTCTCTCGCCCTAGCGCTGGCCACACCTGGCTCTGAAGGCATCCTCGTCGTTGTCGCACCCCCTTCCCATCCCCTCCCCGTCTTCCCCTGGTCCTCCTGCTCCTCCCGCCGCTCCTGCTCCTGCAATTCCTCCTCGTCGTCGTCCTCCTCCTTCCTCATCCTTCTCCTCTTCCTCCTGCACATCCGCCGACTCCTCCAGTGTACGCAGCGTCACTTTCCATGCCCATTGCACACGACACCCGTTGGCGAGCGAATAGAGCAAACACTCAGCACAATAGGAAGGGACGCAGGGGATGCGGGGAGACCAAAAGGTACCGATACCGCTACTCTCTGGACCTCTCCTTGGGTGCGTTCTGACCAGGATTTCGAAGCGAATCCAGCGGTGGTGACGAGGGCCGCCCAGGAGGCCCCAAAAGGGGAAAACGAGCGATGGGTAGAAGTATGGGTACCTCTTCCTCCTCCCGGCCATCGCTCGGACGTCCATTCCCTGTGTTTCTTTTTGGTTTCGTGCGTGGTTTTTTCGCCAAATGATCAAGGATGCTCCTCGATGGCCCGCGCCGAGAAAAAATGCACACGTCCGAGCGATGCCAGGCCTCTGAGGATGGGGTACAGTATGCCAGATGTGGCGCGAGCGCACCCAACCAGACATTCGTGCTACTCTCCCCTTTCTCCTCCGAGGGCGTCCCGAGAGACTCGCGCGCCCCCGCTGCAGCGTGCTTTCTGAGATGGCGCCGCGCTCCCGCTGCAGCGTGGGGGCTTCACTTTCCGATCGGCGCTCCGCTCCCGCCGTTCAGAGCGGAGCTCTCGCGCCAGCGCGGGCCACTTTTCTGGATCCAAGTCTTACCTCATCGATGTCTCCCCGCTCCTTTCCCCCCCTCCGCCTTCCCCTGGTCCTCCTCGTCGTCGTCGTTGTCGCCATCCTCCTCCTCCTCCTCCTCCTCTCCCTCCTCCTTCTCCTCCTCCTCCTCCTTCAGCACCTCCCGCTCCTGCTCCTGCTTCCGTTCCTCCTCGCCCACCTCCTTCTTCGTTCTCCTTGTCTTCCTCCTGCTCATCCGCCACCTCTTCTTCTAATATATGCAGTTCCCCTTTGTCTGATTGTGCAGAACGTGATGGTGTCCTTTTGGATGTTCCAGGTCCCCGGTGCCACCCGTCGGCGAATAGAAACATACATCAGTGCCATGGGAAGGGATGGTTTGGAATAGTAGGACTTCAGATATAGCGCGAGCGCGCCTAGCTTGTAGTACTCCCTCTCCCCTCTCCCCCTCCCTCTCCTCCTCTTCCTCCTCCTTCTCCTCTTACGTGCCGACGAGGACAACGGCGATGAAAACAACGAGGGCGATGATGACGACGACGACGACGGCGATGGCGGCGGTCCTGGAAGTAGCGGCTGCCAGCGACGGGCGGCTGCATGTTCCTGTCCCTCAGGGGCGCCAGGAACGCCTCCCTGCGGGCCAGGGTGGCCTCCAGCGAGGAGCGAATCATGAAGCTGATGATGCTGATGATGATGGTGATGAGGATTATGAGGATGATGATGCTGATGGTGATGCGGATTATGCTGCTGATGATGATGCCGATTTTGATTATGATGATGATGAGGATGATGATGCTGTTGATGATGATGAGGTTGATGAGGATGATGATGAGGATGATGCTGCTGATGATGGCGGTGGTGATGATACTAATGATGATGCTGATGATGATGATGATGACGATGACGATGACGATGATGATGCTGATGCTGATGCTGATGCTGATGCTGATGCTGATGCTGCTGCTGCTGATGATGATGATGATGATGGTGATGATGATGATGATGATGATGATGCTGATGATGATGATGATGATGATGATGATGATGATGATGATGATGATGATGATGATGATATAATTGTTGTTGGTGATAATGATGACGATGCTGATACTAACAACACCAAAGAAAAACCAATCAGAGGATGGGTTTGTCTATATTCCTATTCATAAATTCTTATAAGGCCGGGGACACCATAAAAAACCTTCCACCCACCCAACTAACGAATTTGGCGGGCCTCTCGGGCAACCCTCCAGACGACCTGGGAGAACCCCACGAGAGCCCGAAGACGGCCCCAGAGGGCTCCAAGCGTTCCGGCGCGTTCCCGAAACGACCCCAGAGAGCCCCTAAGACGGCCCATGACGACCCCAAAGAAGCCGTCGTACCCCCAAAGATCGCTCCAAACCTCCAAGAGCACTCCCAAGAAAGCACCAAGAGGCAAAACTCATTGAAATTCTGTTGGTTTTTAATGAATTTTGGCGTCCTCCTCTTTTCGGCTTCCCGACGCTCTAAGGCGGCCCACGAGGCCCCCAAGATCGTCCTCAGACGGCCCGACAGTCTTCCAAGAGGGCCCCGAACTGGCCCAGGAGGGCCCCACGGCACTCCCGACAGTGCCCCTTGAGGTCCCAGGAAGCTCCCACGAGGCCCCGAAGAGGCCTCAAGAGGGCCCGAAGAGGCTCCCAGGAAGCTCACAGATTTTCTAAGAGTCCCAAAGGTACCCGCAAGGAGCCCACAGAAGTTCGAAAACGCCCGAAAAGGCCCCCAAGACAGGCCCAAAACGGGCCAGGAGCCCGATCATGACCCCAAGTAGACGGGGTACAATTGTTTGCTCGCCCATAATTCGACTGATATATAGATATGTCTATATATATAGGCACATATATATATATACATACATATATATATATATATATACATATACACCGACGAAATTGCGTATAACGTGCACGCACGTGCACGTGCACACATGCGCGCATCTAGTCATGCGCGCGTGCACGCGCGCGCGCACGCCGCCTGTGGGCGAAACTCGAAGGACCAAGGTGCATGGCGCGCAGCGCCATTGCAGTCTTGTGCACATATGTATATGTATATATGTGTGTTTAAGAACTGTACGTACATATCTACATACACATGTGCAATTATACCTTTTCCATTCCGTATCCATCCCTCTCCCTCTCTACGGTATGTATGTATGTAGGTAGGTCGGTTGGTAGGTAGGTAGGTCGGCAAGTGTGTTTGTGTATGTGTATGTGTATGTGTATGTGTATGTATATGCATGTCTATTTATATATATATATATATAAATGTGTGTGTGTGCGAATCCTGGCACCAGAAACTGGGCACCCCGCCTCCCACCGAGACCAATCCAGAGCCTGGCAACGGGAACCTGGAACCCAAATCCTGGAACCCAGCCACCAATCCAGAACCCCGAATCAGGAACCCGGAACCCAAAACCTGGAACCCGGGAACCCGGCCGCCTACAGAAATCGGCAGCGAACTTTCGCCAAAACCAACCCGGAATCCGGAGCCATGAACCCACGAACCCGGACGCCCACCAAAGCGGCCGGAAACTTTCGCCAAATATTTTAACATTTGCTACGGCCCCTTCAGTGCAAGCCCTGATTGGGGAATGTTGATGCTGGTGCTGACTGTGGTGGCGGGCCGACGGCGATGGGAGTCACAACAGATTACGATACCGAGGAACCCTACATACCTTTTTGATGTCCAGTGTGTACCATTAGCACTACTGGTACGACTACGACTACGGCTACGACTATGACTACGACTACGTCTACGACTACGACTACGACTACGACTACGGCTACGACTACGATTACTAGTACTACTGCTAATATTATTATTACCATTACTACTACTAGTACTACTACAAGTACTACTACTTCTACTACTACTACTACTACTACAAGTACTAGTACTAGTACTACTACTACTACTACTACTACTACTACGACTAATCATACTACTACTCTACTACTACTTCTACTACTGCTGCGACAGATACTGCTACTACTACGACTAATCATACTACCACTACTACTACTACTACTACTACTACTACTACTACTACTACTACTACTACTACTACTACTACTACTACTACTACAACGACTACTACTACTACTACTAATGCTGCGACCACTACTAGTACCAGTACTAGTCCTACTACTACTACAACAACAACTACTACTACTAATACCACTGCTAGTACTAAAACCAGTATTACGACTACTACTTCTACAACAAAAAAACTGCTACAATTACAACGACGACTACTACTATTACTTCTATTGCTTCGATTACTACTACTACTACGACGACGACTAATACTTTTACGACTACTCCTACTAGAACTACTCCTATTACTCCTACTCCTACTCGTACTACTTCTACGACTACTACTAGGATGACTACTACTATTACTACTACTACCTACTACTACAACTTCTACCGCTACTACTAAGCCTACTACTACTATGCCCTACTACTACTACTACTACTACTGCTACTACTACTAAACCTACTGCTACTGCTACTACTACGACGACTACTACTACTCCTGCTACGACTACGACTACGACTACGACTACGACTACGACTACGACTACCTACTACTACTACTACTACTACTACTACTACTACTACTACTACTACTACTACTTCGACGACGACGACGACGACGACGACGACGACTACTACAGCAACTACTACTACTACTACTACTACTACTACTACTCCTACTACTCCTTGCACAACTAGTATACTTGCTACTGCTACTCCTTTTTACTTTTACTACTACTACTGCTACTACTGCTCCTGCTCCTACTCCAACTCCTCCTCCTCCTCCTCCTCCTACTCCTATTCCTACTGCTACTGCTACTGCTACTGCTACTGCTGCTGCTACTACTACGACGACGACGACTACTACTACTTCTACTACTACTTCTACTACTACTACTACTACTACTACTACTACTACTACTACTACTACTATTATCACTACTGCCACTACTACTACCACTACTACTACCACTAAAACTACTACTACTACAACCACTACCACCACTACTACTACTACAACCACTACCACTACTACTACTACTGCTACTACTACTACTACTACTACTACTACTGCTGCTACTACTACTACTACTGCTACTACTACTACTACTACTACTGCTACTGCTACTGCTACTGCTACTGCTACTACTACTGCTACTACTGCTACTGCTACTGCTACTGCTACTGCTACTGCTACTGCTACTGCTACTGCTACTGCTGCTGCTGCTACTACTGCTACTCTACTACTACTACTACTACTACTACTACTACTACTACTACTACTACTACTACTACTACTACTACGACTACGACTACGACACTACGACCATACTACCACTACCACTACACTACCACTACCACTACCACTACCACTAACCACTACCACTACCACTACTACTACCACTACCACTACCTACTACTACTACTACTACTACTACTACTACTACTACTACTACTACTACTACTACTACTACTCTACTATTACTACTACGACTACTACTACTACTACTACTACTACTACTACTACTACTACTACTACTACTACTACTACTACTGCTGCTGCTGCTGCTGCTGCTGCTGCTGCTGCTGCTGCTGCTGCTGCTCATCCAACGGAGTGCCGTGCCGTCGCGGGTTGTTTTCTGATGCTCCCAAACCGGGGCATGACCTTCCAAGGACGAGAGTGAGGGGAAACGGCGACCCTAAATCGCCCAAGGGGCGCCCACAATGGCCCCATGACGGCCAAGAGGCCGCCAAGACTGCCCCAAGAGGGCCTCAAGACGGCCCAAGAGGCCTCCAAGACGCCCATGGCGGCCTCTAAGACGGCCCTGAAGCACCACAGCATGGTCCCAAGTCGGTTCACGCCCCGAAGACGGCTTCCGACGGCGTCAGACGGGCCTGGAACGCCCTAAGACGGCCAAAGCGGCCCCGAACAAGCCTCCAAAGGCTCCGAAGAGGCCCAAGGAGGCCCCCAGGAGGCCTCCACAAGAGACCCCCAGGAAGCTCCCAGGAAACCCCAAGTGCCCCAAGAGGCTTCCACGGGGCGTTCTCCTCCTTCTCCTCCTCCTCCTCTTCCTCCTCCTCCTACTCCCTTTTCCTTTTTCTCCTCATTCTCCTCCTCCTCACGTGTTCCCCGAAAAGTTTTAACAACAGCTGGGGGAACATATGGTCCGATAGCTCTAGCCCAACTTTCGGCCACCTGAGCGCTTCCAAAAAGGCAGGGGGCGGCGGTGATTCGCTGTATGCGTCTTCGATAATCCAACAGGGGCGCGAAATCGCCCGAGCGCCCCAAGGGAGCCCCCAGAGGGCCCAGGAACCTTTGGCATGACACTCTTGCGGGCTGTTTCGTTAGAACCTCTTGGTGCCCCTTGGGGCCCCCTGCAAGCATTTTGAGACTCTCAGAGAGCCCGGAGAGAACTTCAAGAAGCCTCCAAGAGAGCTCAAAGAGAGCTCCAAGAAGGAAGGTCTCCAACAATATCATACCAAGGCACGGTGGCGGGGTAGGCCGTGGGTCACGTAATCCAAGAGGGGTTTGAAACGCCTGAACGCCCCAAGAGAGCCCCCAGAGGGCTCCCAC